CTTCTTTTAAAAAGAAAATTAAATCAAGATGACTTTATTCAATGTAATAAATCAATTAAACAATTAAAACTGGTTTGTAGGCTAGCCGGTTGGCTCAGTTGGTTAGAGTGCAGCCTTATAACACCAAGGTCACCAGTTCAGATCCCTGTACCGGCCAGTGCAAAACAAAACAAAACAAAACAAAACACCCAGAACAACAACAACAAAAAAATAAAACTGGTCTATACATGGGGCAGGGTCTCAGTCCTAGCAAAGAATTTTTGTGTATGAATGTTTTTCTTTACTTCATTCACAATAAACTTAGGATTCCAATTTAAAAGTTTTATATGAAAATTTCAAAAATTTAAGATTCTGGAGCTCAAAAACCTCTTTTAAAGCCAACTTAAATAATGTGAGAGGTGATCTGAATGGTTTGTGTCTCCCAACATTAAGCATGTGACAGTTTTGCAATGCGTATTAACAGAAACCCCAGTTAACTACACCGGCAGTGTAGTGTGTGTGCTGTAAGAGCAGGCCATCAGGTCACCTCGGTTCATCCCACTTGTCTTTGCTTGCTCATATTTGTGCATGTATAAACTAAAAATGGTTGGTTGAAAATTAACACATCTTCCCAGAGAACATTTAATATTTCTTTTTTGAATCTGACTTAAATTTGGCTTTCACAAATGTCTATTTAGAGTTAACTGTGAGAACAAGAATGTATATTTCACACTGAAAGTTTATTCACAATAGCCACGAGAAAACCATTGCCTATCTGTCTAGTGTTTTAACAGATCTCAAAAACCAAAGCCCATTATACCCCATGGCTTTCCTTATTTCAGGCAAAAATTACAGCTGTCACCTTTGTGAGGTCTTATACAATCTGTATACTAGTATACAGGCAGCTTATTAATGTAGCAAGGAGTCTCCATTAAGCCCAATTTGTAGCTGTCACTCTGGAAAGAAAATCCACAGGTCTGTGTTGTATTATGTAACCACACCAAGTTATATAACAAACCCATCCTATCCCTTAACAGAACTTTATTAATAAATGAGTTGGGTTTTGTTTGGGGGATTGTTGGCTTTTACTTGGATGACCATGCTCAAGAGTTCCAGACACTTGCCAACATTAAAAATGTTATTCTAAATGGTCTCGAGTTCGTTTACAGAAATGTTTCACTTGAGTTTTTAGACTTCTTGAAAGTCACATCAAGGATACAGAGTAGAGCTCTTTCCCCTCTGACCCCCCTCCACCAACTTGTCCTAATAATTCTTCATGCTCTGTTCTGCCAAGGGCAGTTATTTTTTGTTTCTTCTTTCACTATTTTTAGACTTCTTGAAAGTCACATCAAGGATACAGAGTAGAGCTCTTTCCCCTCTGACCCCACTCCACCAACTTGTCCTAATAATTCTTCATGCTCTGTTCTGCCAAGGGCAGTTATTTTTTGTTTCTTCTTTCACTATTCTTTTCAATTATCGCCATTGACCCATATCTTGTACATTACGAAAAGACTAGAGAAAGGAATATGACAAAAGTCACCACGTACTGCCCAAGCTGTAATTTGCAGAATCTGAAATGATAATTCTCCCCAAAGAGCTAGAATCGTCAGCCTGAGAAGACTGTGTTTGGTGAATACATTCAGTTGTCATCATGCTACAAAAGAAGTGAGGAACCACTGAGATGCCCAGAGAGGCTTTAAAAGAACACGACTTCCAGCACTCTAGTTACTGAATACATGACACAGAATCTAGTAGTGGTAGACCAGGGCAATGTACACATTAATCAAGTGTCATATAATTTTCCTCCCACACCTACCTTCTGGTATAGTGAAAAAGGCCATAGCTCAATAACAAACAGGAACACCTCCTCTACTCAGAGATCATTCATGAGTTGGCTATACATGGGACTATATAACTAAAATTATTTTTAAACGTAATATATAGTTGGGGTTGTTAACACTTAAAAAATGGTCTACAATATATTCTTTGATTACATTACCTCCTTCGTAGAAAACCCAGATGCTTTATATTGAATTCACTTGAAGCAGGCACTTTGCAAAAACAAGAAATGTTTTTGAGACAATCCACTGATGATTGCATAGTGCAGTGATAGAGCCTGTGTCCAAATTATGGCTACTCAAGCAAGTGAAGAAGTCAAGGGAGAGGAACCATTTCTTTTCTGGAGAAGACGGGACTATACTGTCTACACTTTATCATCATGAGGTTCAGAACAAATGTTTGCTGTAGGTTGGATGTCCCTTACAGGTAATGTCACATACACTTCCTAAATTCCTAACTCAGTGTTAAAGGGCAGATAAAGTCTGGAGACCACTGACACATGTACCTGCCTCACCCATACCACAGGAACTAAGGTCGATTTCCCAAAGCTAAATCTAATTTTCTGGAATCTGCCTTATACCCAAAATTCTAAATGATGAGAGAGGCAAGGAAACTAACTTAGAGAAAACACCAAAAAATGTCATCAGTGTTCAAGTCCTCGATTTCTGAAAAAGAACAAGTCTTTCCAGATCACACAATCACATAAAATGAGATGAAAAACAAAAAACAATGCTTTCCTTTAAAAATATTGAGTTGTATTATAAAATAAGATTAATATAAATTACTCCTCCAACTTATTCCAAGTCTAGGAGCTACTTGTTAATCGCAACTACACTTCCCTTCTTTGGTTGGGTGAATTACCATCTCTTTAGAAGGTTTTCAAATGAATTTCCCTACAAAAACCGAAGCAAGGGCCGGCCCGGTGGCGCACTGCTACAGTGTGCTGCTTGGGAGTGTGGTGGCGCTCCCGCCAAGGGTTCGGATCCCACATACAGACCAGTTCCCGCTCACTGGCTGAGCGAGGGACGGGCGCAGCACCGAGGGTTGCGATCCCGTTGCCGGTCCCGGTCTGGCACAGGCGCGACACTGAGGGTTGCGGTCCATTGCCGGACATGAAAAAAGACAAAAAAAAAAAAACCGAAGCAAGGTTATCATACCATTTTCTTTGGAAAAGGACAAAACCATCTATATTGTTGACATTTAAACATATACATAGATGAAAACTGGAATTTCAAAGCAAAGGCCATAAACTTATACTTTCTATAATAAAGAGGAATGTGAAAAGACTAATATTTATAGATCTGTGTGTGTAGAAAAAGAATTGGAGAGTTTGAAGTATTCAGAAGGGAGAAAAATTCCACATGCAAGACAGACATCCAAAATGGCTCAACATAATTTATTTTTTTGTATGTTAAAATGTACAGAGTTCTTTTGAAAGTACTTGCTAGAAAGGGGAAAAAAAAGGTCTTACATACAAGGAGAGGAAGGGAGGCCCACTGGCCCAGGAGCGCATGACATGGAGAATACAAAGGCATCTAGGCACCCTTCCCCTTAGCTTACAAGTCACCATGAACAAAGTACAAAGAGGTTACAAACAGGAAAAGCAAATATAAACAGACAGGAATAGACTTAGCTTCATTTGTACATGCGGCTTTTAGAGGCATCTGGAGCTCTATTCACACACTCTAGAGATCTCTTTAAAGAGAATTTTTATCTTTCTTAAAATAGTTTTTAATATTCTACAACAAAGATAAAAAATTTTAAAGATGGAATGAAATGAAAAAGCTCTTATTTTAAAAGGCATCAAAGTCACTAACAGTGAGTTTTTAAATTTCTTTTTTAGAAGATTACCCAAGTTATCTTGCTAAAAATACATTTTTTTTTTAAACAAAAGTGAAAAAATGACAGGTACCAATATTACGGTGTTGGATAATTTCTTTTATAATATAGAAAAGAACTTTTTTTCTACAATAGTTCTACAGTCACAAAGAGGCTTGTGGAAAAGGGAGCTGCCCGATTGAATTTTTTTTTAAAGAAACAAAACCAAACACAACTGCAAACCAACAGAAACTAAATTCACAGCCCTCATTCAACAGCTTCTCCTTCTGCCTTGACCCACCCTCCTCCCAATATACCTCCCTCCCCTCCCCACCCCACCCCACCCCAACCAGGAAGCAATGACACAGCTGCAGGTGTAGGGAGAGGGCAGCACAGTGCACATTCTACACAGATGACCGGGACTGGAATAGTATATACAGAGAAACTGGGTCCTACACAGCCTTGCACATACATGCTCAGAGTTGACAGCGGAAAGATGTGGAATTCTGCCTTTTTCTATCTAACACACTTAATTGAGAAAGTCAATTAAAGTGTATTAAAAAAACCAACAAACGTGTGCATTTGAAAAAATTTAATGCCTAATTAGTACTTTAAAAATTTATCTATATAAAATGTACAAATAAAGGAGAGAATTTAATGCTTACAGGTGTTTCTTTAAGCAGTACTTCCCCCTTTTGGATATTTGACTGCACATACCAAGTGGTATAATAGTTTCCATCTTCTAATGATGGAAGAAAAAAAAAATATATATATATATACACACACACACATATATATATATATATATATATATATATTTTTTTTTTTTTTACCTATCCCTGGAGCAAGTAATAGGAAGAGAATGGGCAAACTGGTTGCACAAGAGAAAAAGAGAACGGAGTTGGGAGCAACATATGAACCTGCTAAAATCCTGCTGCCCAGATGTGCCCTACTATGCTGGTGGTCGAATTATCCCTCTTCTCATCAGCCACTCACAGGAGAGGGGCTGGCACACTGATCCACAGGGGATGGACTCAGGATCTCCAAAAACAAATGACAATTAGAGGTATGTATCATGTAAGTAGCTATAAAAGTCACACCATAATCTTCCTTCCAGCACACACTGTATATCATCTGTTCAACATAAAATAAGCAGTGTCAGAGGTTTGTCAGGTATTTTTCAAATCACTGAAATGTACTGTCATCCACCAACACTTAAGGAAAGAATGTAAGAGGCAAACTCTGGGGACTGCTATTTGAGTTTTTTTTTTTTTTTTTTCAAAAGATGACCGGTAAGGGGATTTCAACCCTTGGCTTGGTGCTGTCAGCACCACGCTCAGCCAGTGAGCAAACCGGCCATCCCTATATAGGATCCGAACCCGTGGCCTTGGTGTTATCAGCACCGCACTCTACCGAGTGAGCCACGGGCCGGCCTGCTATTTGAGTTTTGTCAGAGTCAAAGGCTCAAGAATCAAGACCCTTAGTTAGCATTTCAAAGTACATACTAAAAACAAGAGGCTGGGTGGAATATGTGCGTTATGGCTGATTCACCAGGCGGTAAAAAAACAAGAGCTTAATTTACTCTTTTCGATTGTTAATTGACGGTCTCTATTCCTCCAACAGCTGGATTAGGATTGCAAACCGCTTTCCTCTGAGATCCTGCTGTTATTGAGACTTACAGTATTTTTGTGTCTCTGAGTGCTGAGTGGGAATATTACAAAAAAGAAAGGAAAATTATTATATTACACTTGATTCACAAAAAACAGATTTCAATGAAGTCCATTTATAAAGAAACATTCTTGGGGAAAGGTTTCAAGAGGGATGTGTACACGTGTGTTGTGTGTGTGTGTTTCTGTGTGTGTGTAGGGAGTGGAAGGGATTTTAAAAGGAGAAGCATTTTCTTGCCTCACTTTATTAATAATAATAATAATAATAATATTAATAATAATAAGTTTAAGGAGCTTGGGTTGTTCTCCATGTCCCCATCTGAGTCTCCCATAAGTGCCTCCTGCTGGAATGAAGTAGGAAATGAAAGGTTGGGTTTGGAGGAAAGGGTCTGGTTAACCCTCGAGATGTATATATAACATTTAAAAATGACAACATTGGGAGCTGCAAACAGTGAGGGGAAACAAACATTTTAAAATAAAATAAAGATACTTTGCTTTTACACAAATTCTGTCCATGTGGTATGTAAAGAAAGTAAGGCTCTTTTTAATTATGAAAAGATTTTGTGCATGTTTCCCCTATCCCCAAACCCACTTTTAGATGAGTTCTACTGTAAAATGTTCAATATTGTGAAAACCAAAACCCAGAACAAAATGAACCCCAAAAAAGAGAAGATCAGGGTTTTCTAAAAAATAAAATAAACCAAAGAAAAATTCCTCTAAATCTACAGTAATATTTTAACTGGAAAAAAGGTCCATTTTTCTCTGGTTTGTCAGTATAAAAGGTTCCTTTATTTATATATATTTAAGTTTCTCACTGTGAGTCCACCTTGCTCATCTCCTCATGTAAGGCCCATTGAGTGACTGCTTGGGCACGCCAGCAGCATTCATATAGCTGTGATGGGAGGGGCCAGTGTACATCATGTTTCCGTGAGGGCTTGGCTGCATAGGCTGCTGGGTATAGGCCTGGCTCCCCATCATCCCCATCTGCATCTGCATAGGATACTGTGCTGTCTGGTTCATGTAGGCAGGGTTACTATGGTAACTGCTGTTCATCATGGGCTGTGTCATTCGATAGCTGTTCATGGCATTCAAGGTGTTCATATTCATGGAATTGACATTATAGGCAGGGGTTGGCATTAAATTAACCCCCATGTTCATGCCACGCTGAACAGCCAATGCACGAGGACCAGCCTGCATGGCAACTGCTGGTGGGCTGCGGCCATACAGCTGTTGCTGGTGAGCAGCTGCAGAGGGCAGGGGTGCAGATTTGGAGCGGATAGAAATGTGCCCCTTGACTGGCATTTGCCCTTGCAACCTCTGCGTGTGAGGAATACCAATGTTGGTGGCAGACATGTTGCACTGCAGCAGAGGCGATGTGAGGTTCATCGTCGTGGATGCCAGGTTTGGGGGCGGTGTCATGGTGGCTTGTGCTTGAGGGGTCCCAGCTAATGGATGCGATGGAGCCAACTGAGCCAGTCCCGTATTAGACAAAGAAACACTGGTTGCATAGGAAGTCACAGCAGGAGAATGGCTATAAGGCATGGCATGAGGGTCCATAATGGTGTTAGTCAGCTGCTGCAACTTGGCTAAACTGAAGGTGGCTGATGGTTGAGAGTAGCTGCCGGCACCAAAATCCCCCGGAATCCTCTCATAGATACTGATGTTCCCGGTGCCTCCAGATTCCGGTATTTCCATGATCATAGGAGCTGCAGTAAAGCTGTTATTCATACTACACTGTGACAGAGGCGGCTGCTGCTGGGGTGGGGGCGGGGCTGGAGGCTGCTGGGGCTGAGGCGGTGGTGGCTGTGGCTGTGGTGGCTGTTGCTGCTGAGGCGGTGGAGGCTGTGGTGCTGGCTGCTGCTGCTGCTGCTGCTGCTGCTGTGGTGGTGGTGGCGGCGGTGGTGGCTGCTGCTGGTTACTGGGAGGCCTCTCCACCACACAACTCTGAGGTGACTTGATGCTGCAGTTGGCAGCAGGCTGGACGTTGTTCTGCTGCATCATGCTGCAGCTGCTGCCCATGTTTGCCATTTGCTGGGTGACAACACAGCTGTTCTGGGTGAGGCTACTGGAGGACGACAACCCACCATAGGAGCAGCTGCTCTGAGAGGAGTTATTCCCACAAATGCTGCCACCCATGGTGGAGTCATAGCTGCTGGGGTTTTCATAGTTCTCTGTCGTGCTCTCAATGCTGCCCAGGTCACTGAAGCCACTATCCACCACCTGCTGAGAGTGGTCTGATACGGAAGGCACATCCATCATGGGGCTGGTCTCCATGTTCTGCATAGAGGGTGCGGACAGGGATCCTTGCTCTGGGCTGATCTGGGTGTAGCCACTGTCCAGGGCAGGCACGGTGGGACTACTGACTGAGCGGACCGACTGGCTGGGATGAGACTGAACAGAGGATATTGGGCTGTTGTGTTCTGAAGCATGACAGTCTTCAACCATTGCCATCTGAGGGTCTTCATCAGCCTGGGTGTAACTCTGCAGGGTCTGACAAGCAGCCAGTGTTTCTTCACAGTCCTGGTAGGCTCCCTCGTGCTCACTGCTTTCTTCTTGTGTCAAAGACTGCACTGCTTGTACGGTTTCCAAATCAAGCTCACTATGAGGAATCTCTTCTTCCTCCTTTAATTCAATTAATTCTTCTTTAGTGTTTGAATCTTCTTCATGATCATCCTCAGACCCTGGCATATGCTCTGACACCACGGATGTTTCATGGGAAGGCTGTTCCTCTTCAGAATCTGGTTCTGTCTCATCTTTATCCCTTATATTCTCCCTGCTGTTCTGCATATCAGTATCTAAAAAAGACTCCTGACCACCAGGCTCCTCCTTGACATCTTCTCTAGCAGCCTGCTCCTCTAGCTCTTTCTTTGTGGTGGATTCCAGATGGCTATCATCCTCATCGTCAGCATCACGGTCTTCATTCTGGTTTGTCTGCACAGCAGTCACCTCTTCTTCTCGCTGCTGTTCGTCTAGTTCGTGCTGCTCTTCCTCCGACTGCCTCTGCTCTTCTAAGATGCTGGGTTTCTCTTCTTCCTCCTCTGCCTCGGGCTCTTTAGTTTCAGCCTCAGGACTATTGCTGCTGTCCCCTGGAGAAGCTGCTCTAACTTCACTGCTGGCTGTGTCTTCTTCTTCCAGCTCTTCAACCTCTTCTGCTTCCACGTGCACCTCCTCTTCCTTCCTTTCTTCAGATAAGGGCAAGTCTTTTGGTTCAATGGTTTCTTCATCCTCTTGAATTTTGAGTTTACGTCCAGATTTAGGAATAGGATCAGTGGGCTCAACAATGCATTCTTCAGTGGAAATGGGTATGATTTCCTGATTCAACTTAAATCCTGGTTTTCTTCCAGGTCTTTTCTTCCAGTGGATTGGTTTGCGGCTCTTCCCTTTTGGCCATCCCTTTTTCTTTTTCATAGGTGTGGATGTATCTGGATCAAGTGGAGAATTCTTCACGTCACATTTTCTCAAGAGAGATACTGGCTTTAGAATAGGAGTGTCTGTGCAGGAGGGATAACAAATAATAAAGATAGGTTATAAGACCTTACATTACTAGTGCATTTTTCTGAGACTAGCACGTAGAACAGAAACGATTTTATAAATCACTTTTAGTAATTAACTCCTGATTCTCTTCATTTTAAAGTTGAAAATCTAAAGGCTAACCCTGATTAATGGCATCTTGTACAGTCACACAGTGAAGTGGCAGAGCACTTAAGAAGTGCTAGTCAACACTGTGCTTCCAGACACCGGCTGAGACCAGTGTGAATCTGTCACCACCAGCCTTGTGGCTCTGGGAAGTTATTCTAAGTTTCAGTCTCATCGTCTGTAAAATGAACATAAGCTTTATAGATACACAAGTAAGTGGGAAGGAGTGATTTTATCAAGTTGCCTTTACTGTGTAAGTTACAAATCCATTTATTTACTCTTTTTTTCCTGTTTGCAATTTATGTTCTCTCTCTGGTTTTTTCAGTTTCCTCAAAATCATTACTTCAGCTAGTATCATGAGCCAATTACTCCAGGCAGTAATTGAGCCATCATTATGTGAACAACTGTTCAATCAAGTTTGTGTTTGTACAGGAATAGCTCCAGGGCATTCAGTCCTATACAAATAAGAAAAAGCACCAGTGATGTTTATTAGAAATAATCTGAAATTAGCATTATTTTTTTCTAAATTGTGGTAAAATATACATAACATACAACTTACCATTTTAACCATTTCTAAGTGCATGGTTCAGTGGCATTAAGTACATTCACATTCCCCACTAATTTTTAAAGGATGAGAACACAAGGCAAGAACAGGATTTGGGGAGGAGAGCTATAAAGGCACAGGTCGCAATAGTAACTTGAAAGTAAACAAAGGAAACGGCTGCATCAGAGACAATCTATCCAAGTCAACAGGAACTTAAACAGGGGACACTACTTTAGCGTACCATGATCCAAGACAGAATGTAAAGTGCCAAATTAACAAAATAAATTTTTAGCTTCCTGGTTATATATCTCAACATATAACATGAATAAAACTTTGAAGAATCATTCACAATAAAGCAAAGAACTCAGTTATCTTATTACTATATTAAAAGTATTTATTATATAAAAATATGAGAATGCAAAAAATGCAAATCGACTAGATTTGAAACTGAGTAAATTTATTTTAAAAAGTGCATGAATAAAACTTTGAAGAATCATTCACAATAAAGCAAAGAACTCAGTTATCTTATTACTATGTTAAAAGTATTTATTATATAAAAATATGAGAATGCAAAAAATGCAAATCGACTAGATTTGAAACTGAGTAAATTTATTTTAAAAAGTGGACTAAAAAGCTCAATTAGTTAATGCATAAAAACTAAAAGGGTAATGTACCCAAAGCGGACAACTAGATTTCTTCAAATCACCCAGCAAAGTAAAAGAAAGAGCTCAGCTTGAGCCCATGTAAGGCAAACACACTGTGGACTCAGGCAGAATGATACACCAGCAAAACCTTTAGGCCGGGATGCGAAAGACTAGTTTTTGACCTGGCTCAGATAGATGAGCCCTAGTTTCTGTATCTCAAAAGAAGAAATGACAACAAGGCTATTTTAAAAGTAAATAATTGGATTTTTATCTAAACATAGAACTTATTTTCAGTTACTGTTACCATTTATTAGAAATTTGCTGCTAGTTGGGTAAGACACATTAGAGAGATGATTCAGGAAGGATTCCTGAACAGATGGGAAGCCAGTTACAACTTACTGAATCTGCTCTTACTTGAGGAACTGTCTTCTCAGCACTTGTTCATTTAACAATGCTTCCTGAGTGCCTACCTCAAGCGCTCAGCATAGAGCAATGAGCAAACCAGATGAAGTCTAGAGAGCACAGATTCTAGTAAAGGGTTACTACATCTTCCCAATGCTAAGTACAATTCACCTATTAGCTAAAAATAAAGACAGAGAAAGGGCTAGGCAAAAATGAACAGTTTCCCAATGTTAAGATATTTTCTGCAGAGGCAAAAATAGGTCCTGAGTTGAAGGGGAAACTAAATGCAAAAATGAGGATGAATATACTTCACACAACTTTTTAGAGACTGCCAAGCCTTCCTTTTCTTGCTTAGTAAGTTGTGTTCATTTTTTGGCTTTGTTGTTGAAGGCTGTGCAGCTATTGCTGCTGTACATTTAAAGACAACAGAACTACACTATGTAACAGTTCTGTAAACATACCATCAGCATCATCTGACTCTTCGTCATCTTCTGCATCTTTAGACATCCTCTTAGTAGAGGACCGACACCTGAGAACGTCCTGTGAGGACAAACGGTGGAAGTATCCTCTAGGGAAGAGTTCACTTTCATCCTCTTCTTCTTCCTCTTCATCAATCTCAAATGTGGGTTCTAATCTTGGCATTGGCCTCTCAGAGTCAGAGTCTTCAAAGGGTTCATCTAACACCTCTGTAGTCTCAGAAATAGTTTCTGTGACTACACTGCTATTGTGGTGTTTGCGCTTTCGCACTCTCCTTCTTCGGTGAAGAATTGGTTTCTATTTAACAGAGAAAGCAAGTATTTTCTTTATAGCAATGAACACCATCTTTTCTATTAACAACATGAAAAAAGTTTTAAAAACTAAGAGAATTAGCACATATTAAAAAAACAGGATGCTGTTTGCCAAAAAGACATTTTGAATATTATTTCAAAACACTATAGTAAGATACTGTAAAGTATTATGGATACAAAGATTTTTTTTTTTTTTTTTTTTTTTTTTTTTTTTTTCCGTGTCTGGCAACGGATCGCAACCCTCAGTG